AAAATGCTTTTCATAATGCGTCAAGTCTCTCAACCATCACATAGAAGCAAGTACTGACTTGACTGAATTGGTGTTGAAAATCCGGATCTTGTTCTTTAAACTGAGTTGAATATAGTAGATCCCCAAACCTACTCATTTCAGATTAATGAATGCCTGTCTTGCTTCTCCTATCCTGGCTTTGACATCCTATTCTGTGCCGACTGTAGTTGAGATGATGCTGCCTCCTAGGTAAGTAGGTGAAAGAGACAACTCTCTTCAGATTTCTCCCTTTGATGGTGGTTGGTGCTTCTTGTTGTTGGTTGGGTATCTTCATCACCTCTGTCTTCTCTACGTTCTCCTGAAGGAAGTGCCGTGTTTGCTGCCTCTGGCGTCAACTTGTTAGTTTTCGTCTGTAGATCTTCGAGTTTGTGCCACATTAGATATAAATCATCGTGAGTGAAATCCAAATCTTCTACGGTCTTTTCACCAGTCCAGTCAGTGGATGCCGACTTTCTCACAGTCTGTTGCATGATCCAGTCCAGTACAATAGACCACAATCAGGAAGATGATTGAAGGTGACAGCAGGCAACCTTGTCTTATACCTGTCTCTTGTCTTCGCTTCACGTCAAAGGCATCACTGAGCTTTCCATTGTCAATCACTTGGCATATAGCTGCTGTTGAATGAGGTTGGTAAAGGTGAGGTTTGAGGCAGTAAAAGTGTAGTGTTGAAGCAACCGCCTGCCAAATACTTCTCGGTCGACGCTGTCGAAGGGCGGTATAAACGATTTCGAAGGTTTTACGATGAATGATACAGTAGTATTTACTTGATGATTAGATTTCGAGTAGAAATTATTATCATTCATAAGTATACCATCAATATGATTACACAACTTCCGACATCTGATTTTTTTGTTGTCTCATCATCACGTGTTTCCTTTGGTGGTAGAGTCAGCTGTGGTGTCATTCCTATTACACATATGTGTTAGATGTTGGCTGATTTGTTGAACAAAGATTCAGTTATCAATCTATCTCTTTCTCTTCTAATTATATTGTGTTCTTTGAGGAGCTGGATTGTTTAATAGTGAAGCTTTCATCGTTCTTCTAGACGACATCATCCATAGTACTAACTTCAGTATGAAGTGAGCTAGCTGTCAATATCTTTCCGTGAGTGATTTAGTGGCTTGCTCTGACGATGTGGTCTGTGATTGGTTGTTTCCTTCGATTGTCGTTTCATTGATTGTATAGACTTTCCTGTTGGCTGTTCCTCTGCTTCATCTCTCACCTTTCTGTCGTTTATCATTTTTCTCATTGGTTCATAGACTGGGTCTATGCCCATACATCTGTGATTGCTGACTGACTAACTGAGCTGAATGCCAGGCATCTAGGAATTCTCTGACATTCTTTGTGTTTCCTGTGTCCAAAATTTTTACATTGTCGAAATTGAATTCATGTCTATGGTTGTTATCCACGTGCATTGAAATGAGTGACGAAATGTCGTGGCGTTTAATAACCGATTGGTGCTCATGTAGACGGAGGCGAAGATGATATTCGGTTTGTCTTCTTTGGTTTTTGCGTCCACTTTGGTCTGCACAGTTAGGGGTTTGGAGGGAATTTGTGGGTTTAAGAGACGCCACACTAATTCCAAGTGGTCTCAGATTGCTCAGAGCAAGCTACTAAATCACTCACGGAGAAATATTGACAGGTAGCTCACTTCTTACTGAAGTCAGTGATGATGATGTCACGGTCTAGAAGGACGATGAGAGCTTCACGAGTAAACAATTCAGCTCTTCAGAGAACACAATACAACCAAGACCATCCACCTGAAGTAGAAACATTTTCCATTATTTCAATCTCTCTCTCTCTCTATCTCCATCTAATTATTGTCTGCAATACCATTGTGACTTCATCATTCTATTTTCACGGCTCAGTAAATTGGAATTTTCTTGAAAAGAACAGCTGACATTTGCATCCACTCAAGGTGTCTCATTGTATTACCACAGTGTCTTATCATCAACTATTGAAATAGTTGTAAAATCATCAATCTCTCAAAATAATCCCAACATAGATGCCTACATACTTGAGTGAATGTTGAATCACCTCCTATTTTATGATGGATAATGACAATATGAAGTTGCTTGCTTTCCAGAGACGATTTATTACATCTGAATGTGGTGAAAAGGAGGTCATTGGCTAGTTGAATAGCACTGTGGTAACATGTTGCTGTTACGAAAGGGGTTTCCAACAAACTACAGATGTTCATCAACAACTGTCTACGCTGGCTTGTTACTGAAGATCAGATGAGAAGGCGAGAAAGAATAAGCAACAAGAAACTCTAGCTGGGCAACGAACCAACCAAGAACCTATCGCCGAACAAATATGAAGAAGAAGAGAGTGGAGATGGATTGGGCATGCACTGATAAGTCTGACTGGGGACATTACGCACCAGGCGAGGCCCTCGAGTGGAAGCCGGATGGGAAATGACGAGTCGGGCGTCCCAACTGAGGGTGATATAGAGATGATGTGAGGAAGAAATGAGAGCTTGTCAGCTGTCGTGGAGTCAGGTTCAAAAGATTGCAGAGAAGAGAGTGTAATCGAGACGTGCTAATGAAGTCGAATGTTTCACTAGGAACCCGAGGGACAAATAACAATAACATGTTGCTGACTACAACACAGAGTCACGATCATTCTAGACTAAATCTTAGTTCGTTGGAGGCAATCGACAGGAAGCCCTGGACCTAGGTTTCGTGCTTTTTGGCACTCGTCAACAAGGCGTATCTGCAACCTCGACGGAACTGATGTCCCGCCAGAGATCCGATTCCGTGTCACCCAGTGTTGTAGTCAGCGACTTTACCACTGAGCTATTCGATCCGCGATTGACCTCCTGTGGGACTGGCTTACTTGTATTAATTGGTCACATGTGTACAATCGTGGCCCAAATAGTTTAGTGATAAAGAAAAAACGCTGACTACAACACTAGGTGACACGAGTTCGAATCCCAGGCGGAACATCAGTTCCGTCAAGATTGCAGATATGCCTTGCTGACAAGTGCAACCGTCCAGGGCTTTCTGCTGATTGACTCCAACCAACTTACATCTACTAATTTGCACCGCGATCCTGAGCTTCCTAGCTTGGTTGCCACATTGCTAATATGATCGATAGAATTCGGTCTGCTTGCACTCTCGCAAACAATCAATACATGATTCTGAACTCTCGGACAACATATCACTTTTTTCAAGTTGAAGCGCAGCTTCCTACTAATTGTCTGCAATCAACATTTCAAATCACCAACCACTAGCCCAGAAGTTTTACGTCTCAATTCCCCGTTCATGTTACTGTGTGGGGAAGAAGATACCCGACTGGACAATTATAATCCTCCTACTGACCAATCACAACAAGCCATTTCGCTTACCACTTAATGGCTTTATATGTTGTATCGCTGAGTCGAAAAAAACGTCTCCCCTTCGCAGACAGTCACAGGCAGATCTGAGTGAAATGCAACGATGTGAGAGAGAACAGTTGCGATTGACATCCACAGGAGAGGTCTCATCCTGTTAATTATCCTTCGTCATATTACTTCGATGATTACTATTCACTGAATCAATTAACGTATCTGACTCAGTTGAACAGGAGTTCAGTCGCTCGCCGAATTGTTCAGTAGTGACCTGCCGTTGACTACAACATTAAGGTGACACTACTTCAAATCTGTCTGAATGAAGATTAGTTTCCTCCAGTTTGGTGTTATGACTTACTGAATAATGTGAACAAGTAGAAAATCTACATCGAACTAGGCTTCCTGTCACTAGGCTCCAACCAACTAACATCCAGCTCACATCGAAAATTATCGGCTAGATAAGATGAGATCAGTTAGAACGACATAGTGAAGAATTTTTGTGCCTAACTCAGTTCTATAAAACGCCAAGTGATAATGTGTCGCTAACTATAACATCAAGTGATGGTCATTCGAATATCTTAGAGGAGATATCAGTCTCTATAGATGGAGTACAGTTCCCTAACAATTACTTCCAATCAACGTGTTAAGTCACGTTACTGTGTGATCAAGAAAAATCTGACTGGACAATTTTACACTGAAATTGACCAATCACATTTAGACATTTCATTTTTCACCTAATCACTTTACATACTGTGTTATTGTATTGAATGAAGTGTCATCACCAACTGTTGAACAGATTGTAAAGACTTCAATCTCTCAACATAAAATTAACACCACAGATCCCTGCACACTTGAGTCACCACTTGAATCAGCACAGATTATTTGATGGCTAGTAACAATAAGAAATAGATTGGTTTCCATTGACAAAACTCATGTTCTACAAGAAGTTTCTCTGAGGTTGAATAGCTCAATGATAATAAGTCACTGACTACAATACCAGGTGATGCCTCATTCGAATATGTGAGAGGAGATATCAGTCTCCATAGGTGAAGTACAGTTCCCTACCGATCGATATTTTAAGTCATGTTACTGTGTGGTGAAAAAAAATCTGATGGGACAATTTTACCCTGAAATTAACCAGTCACAGTTAGACATTTCACTTTTAACTTATAACTTTACAAATTGCATTGTTGTGTTTAATATAGTGTCTCCCGCTTACAGTCAGTCACAGGCAATCTTCCGCTTCTATGTTAACTATCGTTCGTAACATTCCTACGATTATTGTTATTATTACTATTCACGGGGTCATTTCATTAATCATATCTTATTTGATGGCTAGTAACAATAAGAAATCGATTGGTTTCCATTGACGAAATTCATGTTCTAGGAGGTTGAATGGCTCTATTGATGATGTGTCGCTGACCACAGTAATGAAAGGAAATAGAAAAATTCACTTATGAATCATATGGACCGCGAAAATACAAATGCATTTATTTCAAACAAACCTTGAACATTGAACATGGCTTACATTTTATTTGAAAGTTGAATAATCATAAGATAGAAAAAGTTGAGAATGAAAAGAAAAAAAAAGGCGAAAAAGATAATAAATGGGGAAAACTATCATATGATGATTAACCTTTCAATTTGAATAATACAATACATGGGATAAAAATACATATTGATATTATTAATGAGATAATATTAATAATACTGACATCAACATATATCAAAGTATGTTGTAATAAACTGAATAGTCCAGTTAATATACTAGTTATCCCATTCAATGTACCAAAATAGCGTACAGGGAAAGCAATCAGTAAGAAACTAATACATGGACTATATAATAAACCTCTAACAATAACTAAGAATATAAATGATGCATAAACAGTTATAGTATTATTATGTATAAAGAACATACTACTTAATAGGATAGTAAATATACCCATTAATATGAATGGTAATAGTAGACCAGATAGATAAGTATAGTACACCTTTGTTTTAATCAATAGTCTATCACTTCCTCCTTCTTCATTATTACTATTGCTAAGCATCAATTTTGATGCATATCGACTTGATATCTTAAGTGATAGATCAATCAATGTACCAGTTAATGGTGCCATTAAAAATCCACACATAAAGAATACAGAGGAGACTTTAAGTAACTTATTGACAATATCTTCATCATTTGAAGGAAATAAATAATTTAACACACTTGATAAATGATTTAAATACATTGAAAAACGAAGTAAACCTAATCCAAACCATAGATTAATTAAACAGAATGGTAGTGAAAGGAGACAACTTCTTATTGTTGGATATCGTTCATGAATTAAATTACTGAGTTCTTGATGAAAATCTGGTGATAAAGGCTCTTCTAAACAATTTTCCTGTAATAAAACACACACACATACAAATATACATGTGCACAAGACACTTTTATACTCAAACATAAAGTTTAGAATTCTGTTACTGTGTAGTCAAGAAATAACCTGATTGGACAATTCTATCCTTTGACCGACCAATCACAGCAAGCCATTTTAATTTTCACTTAATCGCTTTAATGAAATATTGTTGTGTATCGAATAAAGTGTCTCTGGATTACAGTCAGTTACAGACACAATCTCCCAAAACATAATTGACTCAATGTTGTTCAATCAGCAACTGTTTCATCAAGGATAATGTTAGTGAACAGCATTCGATCTAAAACAGTTCTACGGGAAATAAATTGCTCACCGAATAGCCCAATGGTAACATGCTCTCCAATACAACACGGAGTGACGCTGATTCAAATCTCTCATTAGGGGTAACAGTCTTTACAAAGTCAAATGCAGATTCGAAAACCCTCGTTTCAGAAGTTTTACATTTCAATTCCCCGTTCATGTTACTGTGTGGGGAAGAAGATCCTCCTACTGACCAATCACAACAAGCCATTTCGCTTACCACTTAATGGCTTTATATGTTGTATCGCTGAGTCGAAAAAAACGTCTCCCCTTCGCAGACAGTCACAGGCAGATCTGAGTGAAATGCAACGATGTGAGAGAGAACAGTTGCGATTGACATCCACAGGAGAGGTCTCATCCTGTTAATTATCCTTCGTCATATTACTTCGATGATTACTATTCACTGAATCAATTAACGTATCTGACTCAGTTGAACAGGAGTTCAATCACTCGCTGAATCGTTCAGTCATAACGAGTCGCTGATTTCAGCTTCTGCTTCTTGTTATTATGTGGGGAAGAAGAAACTTGATTGGACAATTTTAATCCTCCTACTGACCAATGAGAATGAGCCATTTCCCTTACCACCTAATGGTTTTATATATTGAATCACTGAGTCGAATGAAGTGTTTCGTGCATACAGTCAGTCACAGGCGAGACTTTTACCATTATCATCATTCACCAGCGATTTTATGACAGCTAATGATTACATGAAATCGGTTGATACCCATGGACTATGTATTGTATGTAACTCAGTTGAACAGGAGTTCAGTTACTCGCTAAATGGTTCAGTGATGACGCATCACTGACTACAACTTCGAGACACGTTGGTTCTAAGCTCTGAGAGAAGTTATAACTAACCCTAGGGTGAAGAAAAAACTTTTCAACTCCTTCTTCTTCTTTCACTAATTTGTAACTCATGCCTGTTACTATGCTCAAATGGATCATAATTCGCATTCCAATTTATTTCGATGAATATTCACTATTCATCATTGACCCAGTTTTTGTAACTTGGCATGCTTGACAAACTGTTTGTTAACTATCATATCCATTTCTTCTAATTCAATCCGTTATCTGAACAACTCACTGAAGTACTTGAAGGAGCTGGTTTCAAATTACTCAAAGTGTACATAAGCTTCAGGCTTAGCCTGAAGTAAAGATTCCTGATGACCACAACTTCAACTTAGTAAGACTAATACTTTCTAAAAGAATAGCCAAGAAACAAGTGATAGACCATGAAATTAACTAACATCGAGGTCAGCAGTTGTCGCTAGTGTTCAAACCACCGATGTTTGTTCTTTCTTTTATCTTACCATTCAACATATGTAATCCTCCTCTGTTGATTGTCTATCTCCTCGTAAGTGAGAAGTGGATTTCGCCTACTCTTCAGTTGATGTAATGTGTGAGGAAATGGTCGATATATTCGGATTTCAACAGAGTAGTGAATGTGTCATCCACATGTCACCACAATAACTTACGTGCAGGACTTAACGTTTATGTCGCCATGATATCCGATTATCTGTTTTGAGTCGTGTGTACTGCACAACAGTTCACTCTATTCTACTGTATAGCTGTGAAACATGGCCATTGAAGGTGGAAGACATGAGAAGGCTTCAGGTGTTTGACCACTGTCGCCTTCTTAGTGTATAGGCCGTATTTCGTGGTGCCACCACACCACGTGAGTAATGCAGAAGTCAGGAGTAGAGTTTTAGGGAGAAGAGGTTAGTCAGTTGACGAGGTTATGAACCTTCATCTATTGAGATGGTTGGGACACGTACTACGCATGTCTAGTCACCGGTCCTAAGCCCGCAGGAACAGGGAAGGTTGGGCATACGCCAAGTAACCCTACCCCGTAAAACCAATCCAATCGCTAAAGAAACTTCAAACCACAAACAAACAAAAAAATTAAAACAAACTTATTCCTCACTGGAATCGGAGAGACGAAATGACGCCAGTTGGTGAAAGCTTTCGCGAAGCCAATAGGTGTCTTCTTTTTTCTCGATGAAAGTGAAAGTAAGAAAAGGGAATATGAAATGTCTATACAATGTTTGAATCTGGAACATATGAGGACATCAGTGTGGAGATCTACTCCACTGCACTCCATTCAGCATGTGGAACAAACTACAGACATTCATCATCAACATCTGCCGCCTACACTTACTCGATAATGAAGATTAGATGAGAAGGCGAGAAAGAATAAGCAAGGAGGAATTCTGACTAGCTGCCAACGAACCAACCGAGGAGCTATCGCTCAACAAATATGCAGAAGACCATCTGGGGATACCACGCGTCAAGCCAGGCCCTCAAGTGGTACGTAACAAAGGCGACAAATAATGATAAAAATAATAACTATTATCATTACTATTATTTGTCTTTTGGATTCCGTTGCACTCTTCTCTAGAATTTTTTCAACCTCGCTCCTTAACTGTCCACAAGCTCTCATTTCTTCCTCACACGATCTCCTCCATGTCACCGTCGCCAATCAATCAATCAATATCAACATAGGACCAGGCATTACTGCGTAACGGTCCGAGTTGCCACACCTCATATCACTAAATCAAGTAAACAAGGCAGTGAGGCGCAACCTGAAGATAAGAGAATGCAGTCAAAAGGAATATAAAGTACGAAAAAAGAGAAAGGAAGGATGAGAAAGTGGTGAGAATCGGTATAGCGTCGTTAAGATGAGGATAATTTGTATGGGGATGCATCTGCACCACTGACATCGCTTCTCAGCCATGTGATCACCTAGAGTCTACAACCACTGGTTCCTCTTGTCCCACGGACCCCAACCACCTTGTCCGCATCGAACACATGGCTTAAGCCAACAGTCAGAGACTTCATGCATTGGTGCCATGTTTTAGTCTGGTCACCTCAGGCCTGTGACCAGCCTGGACCTACTTCAGCCAACATTGTGTGATGAGTGAATCAGTGACTAGACATGCGTAGTACGTGTCCCAACCATCTCAATAGATGAAGGTTCATAACCTCGTCAACCGACTAACCTCTTCTCCCTAAAACTCTACTCCTGACTTACTTCTGCATTACTCACGTGGTGTGGTGGCACCACGAAATACGGCCTATACACTAAGAAGGCGACGGTAGTCAAACACCTGAAGCCTTCTCATGTCTTCCACCTTCAATGGCCATGTTTCACAGCTATACACACGACTCAAAACAGATAGTCGGATATCACGGCGGCGCCATAGGTGGCGTATGTTGGCAAAAGCAAATCAAGCCTTTTGTATGCGTGAGGAGATTTCATTGTCCACTGACTAACGCACCAAAGCTGATCCTACTTCACTTCCCATGTAAGTGAAGTGAAGTGGTCGACACACTCAACATTTTCAAATTCCTACTCAAAGTGTTCAGAAACCACTGCATCTTGTCAGCGTCTTTGCTAAACAGGATTATACCTTCGCCTTGGACACCCAACTCGTCATTTCCCATCTGATTTCACTCGATGACCTGGCCTGGCGCGTAATGGACTCAGTTCGTAATACTAATAGTACTACTGATAATAATAATAATAATAATAATAATAATAATAATAATAATAATAATAAGCAATGAAATTAACTTACCCTTGATTGAATTATCATTTGACTATCTCTTGATATAACCGCATATTTCAACATATCAACACTTTTAGTTGTCATAATAAACAGAGCTAAAAATAATCCCATAGATAATGAACCGATAGCTAAACATATTAATGACCAATATAATGATATATATGGATGAATAATTGAAATAATATATGATATTACTGTACTCGAATCGAAAGCACCAGATAATAGAGCAATACATAGACCACGTAAATATGGAAACATTAAAGAGATTTGTTGATTACACATTAGATTAGATATACAACCTAAATCAACAAGTATACCAGCTAGAATAAATAATATCGGTGTACTACCTGTTGTAATAGCGAATAATATTGTTCCAATAGCATAGATTAATGTAGAGACAAATTTTAAAGCACGTAAACCAATATGATCCATAAACAAACCGGTGAATATTAATAAACACATTTCACTAACTAACCATATATGAAAACTAATACCATACCAATAATCATGAAACATACAATGATCAGATTGTGTACAATTGTAACTGAATAAACCTCTTGATTTATAGATATGTATTAATGAATTGAAACCATAATGATAACCACCGAATAGAAACATTTCAATCACTGATAATACAATAGCAATATAACGTTTTGATTTATATGGATAACAATTATCCAATTTTGTATCTAAAAGAGAGAAAAAGAATCAATAAATTATTCCACCACCATCCCCGCCTCCACTATGTCACCTCTTCGATAATTAACCCAAAAGGAGGAAGTAAACGTTTAGATATACACTGAAGTAGCCTCATGCCCCAGGGCTTCAGTAGCATGTCTCTATTCCACTTCCTCTTCCTTACACCATGTTTTCCATGTCACCCTTGGACGCTCAAGTCGTCGATTCCCATCTGGGTTCCACTTGACGTCCAATCCATCTTCACTTCCATTTTCTGCATATTTGTTGAGTGATAGGTTCTTGGTTAGTTCGTTGCCAGCCAACCAGAGTTTCTTGTTGCTTATTCATTCTAGCCATCCAATCCTCAGTAAGGAGAGTAGGAGGCAGTTGTTGATGAATGGTGTGTAGTTTGTTGGAAATCCCTTTCGTGATGCGCCAAGTCTCTGAGCCACACAGAAGCACTGACTCGAAGTTGGTGCTGAAAATCTGGATCTTTTTCACATGCTGAGTGCAGATTTCCACACTGGTTTCACGCTAATGAACACCTGTCTTGCTTCTCCGATCCTGTCTGGCTTTGACGTCCTCGTCTGTCCCTGTGCCACCTGTAGTTGAAACAGTGCTTCCTAGATAGGTGAAAGATGTTACTTCCTTTAAGCTTCTCCCGTGCATGGTGATTGGGGCTTATTGTTGTTGTTGGTGGTGGTGGTTGAGAATCTGCATCTCCTCTGTCTTCTCTACGTTCACTTGAAGTCGCGTCTTCGCTGCCGTGCCTCTTCTGTCAACTTGTTAGTTTTTGCCTGTAGCTCTTCGAGTTTGTGCGACATTGGACATAAATCATCGTAAGTGAAATCCAAATATTCTAGGCTCTTTTATCGGTCAAACAGACAGCGTATGCCCGTCTTCTCGCTCCTCACAGTTTGCTGCATCATCCAATCGACTACGATCAGGAAGATCATTAATGATAGTAGGCAACCTTACTCCCATTTTCACTTCAAAAACGTTACTGAGCTTTCCATTGTGGATCACCTGGCGGTCTCATGTAACAACCACAGACTAATCAGTCTCACAAACATAGTGTCTAAGGTTCTAGGTTCTACATATCTTCGGCGCTTAGATCGGTGACACGTACAGCAAGCCCGAGAAAACCAGTCAGAATTCGGACCCAACTATGGTGGCATCGACCAAATATTCACACTGCACCAGGTTTTGGAACACAGGGACACTTACGGATGCCTGACAATAACTGTATTTCTCTGTCTGAAGGCGGCATTCGACTCCGTTGATCGAGAAGTCTTATGACAGTGTCTCTCACTGAAACGTGTACTGAGTACTGAAGGCCCTCTACTCGAACACTTGTGGGTGTGTAACAGCCAATAGTGAGATGACCGTAGAGCTATCCTCGTCAAGTGGTGTCCACCAAGGCTACCCACTGTCTCCATTCTTATTCAATTTTATCATAGATATTCTTATGGAGATCTCCCTCTCGTCACCTGACTACACAGAGGTTGACCTAATCACAGGAGAATTTTCGTTATACCTAGAATGTGCAGATGACATAGTCCTGTTAGTCATGTGAAGACGCTGACAAGATGCAGAGTAATCTAAACACTTTTAGTGGCAATTTGAGAATATTTGGGATGCGTTTTTCACCACGCAAATGCAAATTGTTGCTCCAGCAGTGGTCTTGAACGTTGCAGAGGCTAACAATATAGAGTGAGTATAGTGGTTGAATGTGTTGACCACTTCACTCACCTGAGAAGTAGGATCAGCCTTGGTGCGTTGGTCAGCAGCCGATGAAATCTCTACACGAATATAAAAGACAAGGTTGGCTTTTGAGAACTCAGGCCACCTTTGTCGCCACCGTGATTTCCAGCTGTTTATTAGTAATAATAATACTGATCAACCTTGTCATCAATTGAAAACTGCTCCTTTAAGATTGTCGTTCACCAGGTACTGCAGGTGAATATAGAGAGGAGGGTGATGGACAGAGAATTTCAGTTTTATGAAGGTAGTAATGTATCCTGCATAGTATTAAATATCTATGACAAGTTTATTGTATACCTCGATTCATTATTGAAGTTCAACTAATTTTAAATCATAAATTTTAATTTTCTGAGAAATCAGCAGTAGTTTAACAGACTTGTGTTACTACTGAGTGATAATAATGCAAGTGAAAGGAAAATGTTTCGCCTGTGGTGGGATTCGAACCAGCGACTATGAGGTTTCTGACCAACTTCATTTCAGTCATTTGGGGGTTTTTACTCGACTACCATTTCAACGCATTAATGCTACTTCTAGCCATTATCTTCATTACTACTACTTCTACTGTAATGGTCGTTGCTGATAAAAATGGAATATAAGTAGCATAACGTTGAGAGGGCGGCAGAAATCACTGGGAATTACCAGCAAAGGTTAAAGATCCCACACAGAGAAACATAATAGACAATGTGGGCATATGAACAGAAAATCAAGAGAGAAGCAGAAGAGGAAATGAAGCACATTTTGCAAACGACGGTTTCAGTGCAATGTTATCATATTTAACGACTACTGTCCCACGGGTTGAAAATAAACATTCCTTCTTTCATCTTGGTCTTCTCGTTCCTTTGAATTGCTCCTGGGAGTCCTTATCCAAAATGGGCAGTTCGATTCGAAATAGCCTTGTCAACTTCGAAGCCACTACCAGCGGATATTCGTCTATTCGAAGTTTCGTGATCCAGGGGTACTGGTGCATCGTTGGGCTATCAAACTCCGCCTCCAGTCATTCAACCAATCTCTGCCAAGACTCCTTCCTATCCCCATGTTCCTAGCCGTCATATGCTGCTTTTGCTCCAACCCTCAGCAACGTGCCAAGTACCGAAACCTTCGCTCCTGAATCCTAGACACCAAGCAGCTGCGTGACCGACTGGAAGTTCCTGAGTAAGACCTTGATGTCTCGATTCTCTAACACTGAAGGCAACACAATCTTCATCATGTGCAGAAGTAACGACACCAATTGAAAGAAGGAATGTTTATTGTCAACAAGTGGGACAGTAGTCGTTAAATATGGTACATCTTGAACTCAGACAGTCATTTATACAAAATATACTTCATTTCCTCTTCTGCTTCTCTCTTGATTTACGTCTTTCTGGGCAGAATCTTTACCCATTTCTGGTCATTCCCTATGAATCCTGCCCCCCTCTCGACATATACTACTTATTATTATTGCTTATATGATACCATCGTTGATTGGACCAAACTGATTGGTCTCTATTGGCATACAGGATGCTGTGCGGATGCCTCGGTATTACTTGTGTAGTTCAAGTTATAGTGAAAGGGAGGCAGGTACATCCAGGTGACGAGTCCGAAATATTACGAATTGTACATCCTAGATTCCACTGCTGGCTAATATCCGTCTTTAATATACTACTTATATATCCGCCCACTACACTACTGCTACCACCACACATCAGACAATATGCTAATAGAAACCAATCAATTGGGTTTAATCAGCGATGGTAATGGTAACAAAACTATGCCTCGTGTTTCACAGGAAGTGGTTATTGTGAATCAATCACCTAGTGAATGATAACACTTTAAAGTATACGAAGTAACTGGTTTTTGATTTGAATGTTAGTGAGAACAAAATCACTTCTCGACCTATAGCTGCTACTTTGACGTGGTGGTTGGGCTTGCAGTTGTGGACTTTCATCGATTGAGATGGTTGGCTGGGACACGTGTTACGTATGCCTAGTCATCAAGCGCCTCGTCACACAATGTTGGCTGAAGTGTAGGTCGAGGGTTGAAAAAGGGCTTGAGGTGGTCACACCAAAACACGGCACCAATGTATGAAGTCTCTGACTGTTGGTTTGAGTGATGTGAAGCGATACAGACTAGGTGGTTGGGGTCCGCGGGACAAGGGAAACCAGTGGCTGGAGACTCTAGATGGTGGTATGGCTGAGAACCAATGTCAGTGGCGCAGATGTATACATACATTATCAAAGAAGAGAAACAAAGGAAACGATGAGCTGACCATTTCAAAAAACTCTTGATTGGACCATCACCTGCACGTCGTCCAGAAATACCGCATACATGCGCAGAACTGCCAGTGAGCACAAGCCCTCCAACGAAAGTCGAGGTCCTGAATGCCATAAATCTACTGAAATGTGGGAAAGCAGCAGGATCAGATGGAATCCCAACAGAAGTACTGAGAACAGATGCAGAGACGACAGAGGCCATGCTCACACCACACCACTATTGCAGAAGGTTTGGAAGGAAGAGAGGAAAGTTACTTGCAGATTGGAAGAAAGGCCACTTTGTCAAACTGCCGAAGAAGGGTGACCTAAGACTTTGCAAGAACTGGCGAGGAATCGTTCTTCTGTCCACCGGAAGCAAAATATTAAGCCGCATCCTCCTAGAGAGACTAAACGATGCACTGGATTCAAAACTACAACCAAAACAGGTTGACTGGATTCAGGAAGTACAAATCATATGCAGACCGAATCGCAACGCTACGCATCATCATAGAACAGAGCATAGAATGGCAGTCAACCCTTTACCTCAACTTAATCGACTTTGAAAAGGCCTTTGATAACCTCGACCGAGAAGTATTTGGCAGTTGCTTCAACACTACGAAGTGCCACTAGTCTTTATCAACCTCAGTCAACAGCAGCTATTGAAGACGCCACATGCTAAGTAATTCACAGTGGGAAACTCAGTGATGCCTTTGAAGTGAAGTGAAGGCAGGAGTAAGACAAGGCTGTCTACTATCCCCCATGATCTTCCTGATTGTGGTCGACTGGATGATGCAGCAAACAGTGAGGAGCAAGAAGAGGGGGATACGCTAGCTGAACTGCGGAAAAGAACCTAAAAGACTTGGATTTCGCCAGTGACTTGTGTCTGATGTCGCGCAAACTTGAAGATGTACAGGCGAAAACTAACAAGTTGACAGAAGAGGCAGGGCA